TGTGTGTGTGTGTGTGTGTGTGTGTGTGTCAGGGAGAGAGAGAGAGAGAGAGAGAGCTAGAGGTGTGTGTGTGAGAGAAAGAGAGAGCTAGAGGGGTGTGTGTGTGTGTCAGAAAGAGAGAGAGAGACAGAGAGAGAGAGAGACAGAGAGAGAGAGAGACAGAGAGAGAGAGAGACAGAGAGAGAGAGACAGAGAGAGAGAGAGACAGAGAGAGAGAGATTGTCCCGTTGCGCAGTCATGCGTGTACGCGAGTCGCGCGATCACTGTGTGAGTGGATGTCCGGATGCGTAGCCTGGAGGCTTGGCGACCAACAGGCACTTCAAGCGTTTCAATAATATATAATGCTAACTAAATACGAATATATATATATATATATGTGTCACAGTGTCAGTGTGCACACTGCAGCCGCGTGAGGAATGGCGGCAGTCAGTGTTCACTGTTTGTTGCACATAGGATTTGGACGGAATTTAAAGGAAACTGTCGGCAATAATAAGTGAAAGAGAGCATAGAAACATTAAGAATTTGGTAGTAAATAGATTTCGTATTTAGTTAGCATTATATTTTATTGAAACGCTTCAAGTGCCTGTGGCTGTGAGGCGACCGGTTCCGGACGCGTCGCCACTGCGTATATTTGATTGAAACGCTCCAACTCCAAGTGCCTGTTCACTACTCGGCTTACCATCGACGTCGTCGTCGACAAAATGAGCCATAGAAGTATTTCGCGGGCACACATACGAGGAGACAAAACACATTTGAACGCCATGTGTGTTAGGTGGAGATATTATATTATCGCAGCTTTATTTATGTGGGCCGAGCGGTAGCATTGCACAAATCAAACACAAATCAAGGTCGCTTCTAGACTGGTACTCGCCCCCACCTCGATTACTCGATGGGGGAGATGGGACCGGGTACCTAAGCCGAGAGATGGGACCGGGTACCAGTCTAGGTCGCTTCAACTATTTACATGCTTGTCATGCCATCTACTGGAAATTAAAGCCATTCGTAAAGTGACATGAAATAAACGTGATTATTTTATATTTCATGTAAAATAAACATTTTTAACAACATATTTCTATTGACTGCTAGTAATGCTAAGGTAACTGATAACATTAATTGCTGTTTTTGCCAATAATATTGCTGGAGTTATCAGATCGAAATATCCATCCATATTCATCCACCCAAATCCATCAATCGATCAATCTTATTTATCTATCAAGTATCAATCCATCCATCCATTGCTCCATCATTCTAACAAACATTTCAATCCATCCATCTATCGACCAATTCAATTAAAATTATATCTGACGATAACGTTCATGATAGCAGTGTTAGCGGCTTGGTTGGCCACCGTACTCAGAAATAATTATTTTTACCGCCGCGGTAGAAATGATTCAACAGCGGTTAATTTATGGCTTTTTCTATTATGTGTAAGAAGACCTCTGAATGGGTGAAAGGGCAACAGTTTGACGTGGTAAAAAATAATTTATCCGCGATTAAATTATATGTAACAAACCGTCTGATTGGGTTAAAGGGCTATAATTGAACGGTAGTTAAATTATTTTTACCGTGGTCAAAATAATTAATTCTGAGTAGGCAGACCATAATAAGCGACATCTGCACAGCATTGCAGGACGGATGCCATTGCAAAAATACAGAATGCGCATGCGGTTTACGTACATACTTCATAAAAGAAGGGTTGCGCTAATAAAACACTGAATACCATTCCGACCAAAGATTGTGAATCACACCAATTAAGGCACATGGCGTGCACATGAATTGCAAGTACGATTCCGGCTTTATTACAGCTTCAGTTCAGCGTGCTCATGCATGCGCGCACACGCGCACATACGTACATCAGTTATACGGTTTAACCACCATGTGTAACTAGGCGAACTTTTGTTGATCCGAGGGGTTGATGACATAGCATCACAAAAAAATCCGCTTGGAGGCTGAAACCAATTTAGCGAAAAAATCGCATCCCTGGAATACGGTATTATAGATGTCTATAGCTGGTACCGCTAGGAACACGTGCGTAATTACGCTGTACACGTGTTCGTAAGGGGTTTACCAGGATATATATATATATATATTACATGGTGTGTATGCTATATCGTATGCACCCACAATTACGTATTTGTTGGCGAATGTATAATCAGGAGTACATTCTCAATGCTCTTATCTGTACCCTTGATAAGATAGTTATATAGATAAAAATTTGTGTGGCTTGGATGGCACAGCTTCCGCGTGTTTAGGTGCGTGCGTGCGTGCGTGCGTGCGTTCATGCATTTTTGCGTGTATGTATGTTCATGAATATGTAAATAAGCTCATTATAGGACTTTCTTACTCACTACTCTGTCTTATTTGCCACGGACCAGACGATATTATGAACAGAATATGGAAGACCGCCGCGGTGCGAATAGCAGAAAATGTGTTCTTATTCGCACCGCCGAAGTGCGAATATCCTTTGCCAGACATATACGCAATACGCAAAGTAATATAGCTACCGCGTTTGCCGTTTCAGACTTACCGTATGTTTCGACTTGATTCAATCTTCGAACGTCAGTTAAGCCGAGGTTGAGTTTATATACACACGGTCGAAGTTTCACAAGTACAGCGCAAAACGTAGACTGTGAAAACAAGGTTTTGTATAGTGACGTCTACTGACGCTTCACACGTACAGCAGTAACTATATACGCCGCTATATTCTCAGTTGCCATGCACGTGATATAGGCTGGCTAATTATATATATATATATATATATATTTATATATACATATATATTGCTCGTGCGTGCGTGCGAAGTGCGATGCGTGCGTATGCTGTGCGAGTGCTGTGTCGTGTGAATGTGTTTGGTGTGTGCGCCGCGCCGCGCGCGCGCGCGCGCGCGCGTGCGCGTGTGTGTGTGTGTGTGTGTACACAGAAAAGATACGAGAGATGCAATCTAGCTGCTGTAACCACAGCGGCGAGGAATGTCTTGTTGGTACTGTTGTTACCTCCGCGCAAACGGAGGTCATGCAATCGCTCTCGTGTGTGTGTTCGTGTGTGTGTGTGTCCAGTCCGCGCGGCGCGATCGATAGCGCGTCGAGTCAGCGAGCGGGCGGCGCGATCGATATAGCGCGTCGAGTCAGCGAGCGGCGAGTCAGCATCAGCCACCAGTGAGCGGCGAGTCAGCAGCAGGCGAATCAGTCAGCAGCCGCCACCAGCGAGCACATACATGTTACATGCTCGCGGAGGTATGCACTCTCCGTGAGTGCCCTCTGTCTAGTTGTTGCTGTTTTTGTTTCTGTATCTGCTGCTGCTTTTGTTGTTGTTGTTGTTGTTAATCTAGTTGCTTGTTGTTGTTGTTGTTGTTGTTGTTGTCGTCGTCGTTGTTGCTGTTGTTGTTACTGTTGTTGTTGCCGTCGTCGTCGTCGTCGTTGTCGTCGTCGTCGTCGTCGTCGTCGTTGTCGTCGTCGTCATCAACGTCGTTGTTATTGTTGTTGTTGCCGTCGTCGTCGTCGTCATCGTCGTCGTCGTCGTCGTCGTCAACGTCGTTGTTATTGTTGTTGTTGTTGTTGTTGCCGTCGTCGTCGTCGTCGTCGTCGTCGTCGTTGTTATTGTTGTTGTTGTTGTCGTCGTCGTTGTCGTCGTCGTCGTCCTCGTCCTCGCTGTACGTAATCAAACGTGCGTACCAGCGGACACGGAACCTATTGTTATAGCGGCGTTGCGGCGGGGTTTGGTCACAGAAATTAAGCTACTATATATATAAGTTGTACTCGTGATTTCACGTTGTTGTTAATATTTAAGTTCGCGATAAAATTACCCAAATTTCAACTTTTCATGTTCTTTTCATGTTCTTTTCATGAAATACACTTCGATTGGTCTGGAGTCTGAACGCATACACAGTCCCGTTACGCATCCACATCTATCACGCGTCTACGCATACACATATATACATGTTATATATAGCGACCTCTCAAAACGTCGTTTCGTGTGAAGAATCATGCTTAAAATTCCAGTCGCCTCATAAAGACGGTCGACTACTGGCTGCTGAGAAAAACTGGTAAAACGTTCTGCTATGCCTCCCCCTTCACCGAGTCACCGTGTATGATTCTCGGTATGAGCAGGTTCAGCAATACCGAGCATATCTATCGGGTCTGGAGTTCATCGCTCGTTCATTACCGCAGCTGCTGCCTCCTAGCCCTTGGCTTCTCACCTTACCGCGGTGTTAATCTGCCGCCTGTGTTGACAGCCCGTGCTAACCTCTGTGTTACATGCGCCGTACGGTGCAGACGAGCTGTTACCGCTACACACTTGCCATGCCAGTAATGCTACGTGCGTAATGCACATAGCATCGCGTAAATCTGTTTACAGCCAACAAAGGTATTCCGTAATTTATGGCATTCAACTGCATCCTCTCCGACTATTTTTCCAGCAATTATATGACAATAACGTTGGTATGTCACTGTGGCAGTAATTTTGGCATCGTATAATCCCGTGAATACATTGCTAAAACATTCGAGCAGCTATAAGTCGCCTACAGGTTTTTCAAACTCATAGGGTCTATGTCCCCCAGGGTACGTTCCGGCAGTACCCCGGGGGACATAGACTCTCTCAGCGTTACTCATATATCAACGTTGGTATGTCACTGTGGCAGTAATTTTGGCATCGAATAATCCCGTGAATACATTGCTAAAACATTCGAGCAGCTATAAGTCGCCTACAGGTTTTTCTTACTCATAGGGTCTATGTCCCCCAGGGTACGGCCGGAACGTACCTTGGGTCCGGTCCGGTATACCGGAACGTACCCTGGGTACGGTCCGGTATACCGGAACGTACCCTGGTGCTATCTAATATGCCGGACCGTACGTACCTCGCCTACTTCACTAACGAGTCTAGGGAGTCGCCTACGCCTACTCTCTAGCCCTAACCCTAACCA